AGTTAAAATAAGAAGGATTTTGCAGACAAGTTAAAATAAGAAGGATTTTGCAGACTAGTTAGATATAGAACAAAATATAAAATGATAGGGGAATATAAGGGTAATCTGTATTTTGCAGACAGAATTAATGTTGAATTTTGCAGACAAGTTAAAATAAGAAGGATTTTGCAGACAAGTTAGATATAGAACAAAATATAAAATGATAGGGGAATATAAGGGTAATCTGTATTTTGCAGACAGAATTAATGTTGAATTTTGCAGACAAGTTAAAATAAGAAGGATTTTGCAGACAAGTTAAAATAAGAAGGATTTTGCAGACTAGTTAGATATAGAACAAAATATAAAATGATAGGGGATTATAAGGCAAAATCTGTATTTTGCAGACAGAATTAATGTTGAATTTTGCAGACAAGTTAAAATAAGAAGGATTTTGCAGACAAGTTAAAATAAGAAGGATTTTGCAGACTAGTTAGATATAGAACAAAATATAAAATGATAGGGGAATATAAGGGTAATCTGTATTTTGCAGACAGAATTAAGGTTGAATTTTGCAGACAAGTTAAAATAAGAAGGATTTTGCAGACTAGTTAGATATAAAACAAAATATAAAATGATAGGGGAATATAAGGGTAATCTGTATTTTGCAGACAGAATTAATGTTGAATTTTGCAGACAAGTTAAAATAAGAACATGGTAACATTTCAGAATCAGGTGGCAAGAAGCGAAAGTTACAATTTTTAGATGAAACCAGTTTAAAAAAGCAAAAAATCAAAGCAGATTTGTCAGACATTAGTGAAAATAGTGATTTTGTGGAATTTGAAAGTAGTCGTGATGAAATTTATGATATGCCGGAATTACCAAAGTTAAATATTCAATGGTGGATTGAAGAGTTACAATTAACAATTGAAGACAAATCTGCACTTTTAAAAGGGGGGAAATTGAACTCTCATCATATGGAAGCTGTAAACAAAATACTAAGAAAACAAGTTGGCAGTTCGATACATGGATTACAGTTGACTGAAAAAGTTCCTTTTTTTAATGACACTGAAAATAGATGGATTACTAAATTCCCATTTGATCCTATTGAACAATCACCAGCATGTCAAATTCATCATACCCACAGTGACCACTGGGTAGTGTCCTTGTTCCATAATGACCAAGTTTACTTATTAGACAGTTTAGGAATTGAAAGAAATATAGACAAAATTATACCAGATGGCCTCAAAATACAACTCTCTCAAATTTACGGTAGAAAAGTTAAATGTCTGTCTCTCAATTTGTCATGTATAATGAAACAAACTAACTCTGTTGACTGTGGTTTATTTGCAATAGCTTATGCTACTTCTTTTTGTTTAAGGAAAAAAATATGTAATGATATAATTTTTGACACCAAATCTTTACGTACACATCTGTTAAATTGTTTTGAGAATAAAGAATTGACTGAATTTCCACTTACCAATAAGACATTAAGTATTAGACGTAGAAAAGGTTTTAGAGTAACAATGTTGGAACAATATTGTATTTGTAATATGCCTGCCTGTTTAGCAGATATGGTACAGTGTGATAAATGTTTAAACTGGTTTCATAAGTTTTGTGTAAATGCTCCATCAGATGTTTCAAGACTTGAAGAATTTAAATGTGGATTTTGTTAATAGGATTTTCTGTTTTAATATAGAAATATACATATATATCCAAAGAATAATATAAATGAGAAATAAGGTCAATGTTTTTGAACAAGTTATTTTTTACACTCTGTCACAGTAACATAAATAAAAAGATTTTTTTTTTATATTTTCAAAATCAATGGTAATTTAATACAATTAATATTAAATTCTATTATGTTCAGTAATTTTTTTTGGTAATAATTAATAAATTATTAATCAATAATTATTTTCTTACTTTAAATTTATTATAGCTAATTCATTTATTGGTATGAGCTTTTGTCCCTGGTATTGTTAATGACATTCATTATGAATAAAAGGTATGAAAAATTAGTAATAAATGATCTGTACCTTGTTTATTGTTATTTCAAAGTGTCAATACATGTTGTTTATTCAATTTGTTTATCTATGTGATATCTTGGTAAAACATCTTTAATGACAATGATATTTATAGTAATATTAGATATCTATCTATCTATCTGTATATTGTCTGCAAATTTTTTACAACTGATCAACAGCATAATTGCCCATTCACACCTTTTGACAAGTTGACAAGGATTAAACATCCCCTATATAATCTATATTGTCTGCAAAGTCTAAAATCCTTCTTTATTTAACTTGTCTGCAAAATCCCTCTATGTTTAACTTGTCTGCAAAGTCTGCCTGTATCTATCTTTATATAAATGTAGATATATATATATACACACATATCTTTCACTGAGGAATTATCTAAAATGTTTTAATTAATACTTCAAATTTGAAACATTTATGTCTGAGTACATGTTTTAAATTTATTGTGTATTATATAAAGATATAGGGTTTGGATTATTTTTTAAATACTTTTTCTATATATTGAAATTTTTTTGTTATTGTTTGTTTTTTTCTTGTTTTCAATAATTTATTATAGATATATCTATAATTATCCTTGTGTAATTATTTTCATATACTTATTAAGAAAGATGAAATATAACCATTTTGCTAATACTTTTTATAAAAACTTTCATTAAATATTGTTTTACTTATATAAGAATCACATTATTTGATAAATATTATACATTAAAAATAAAATGCTTTTAAACTTCACATTGTTATTCTTTTTTTATTACACAGCTTACCAACTGATCAACAGCTATTATTATAATTGCCCATTCACACCTTTTGACCAGTTGATAAGGGATTAAACATCCCCTATATAATCTATATTGTCTGCAAAGTCTAAAATCCTTCTTTATTTAACTTGTCTGCAAAATCCCTCTATGTTTAACTTGTCTGCAAAGTCGTCTGCAAAGTATACCGTCCCGTTTACTGGTATTTATTTGACATGTCTATAAAATAGAGTTAAGGTTGGTCAATATCTTATTTAATAAATTCTTTGTATAACGGGGTACTTGTTATCAATCAGGTCATTAATATTTTTAACTTTTTGAAATTTTATTCGGACATGAGGACTGACGGAAAAGAAATTTATCTCGGACCGCATGATTTTTATTCGGCCAGGACCGAGGACCGACGGACTTTCGCACAGACTGATATTGAACCAGGAGAGCCAGTACAGTCCAACACATCGGTAAGTGGACCAGAATGGCTAGATATTGGGCAGATTAAACTTAAGGACGAAGAAAAAAGTATCCTGTATTCACCAACAGAGTGGTTAAATGATCGGTTGATTGATGCGGCGATGTCTCTTCTAAAGACACAGTTCCCACATATATGAGGGGTTGGACAGTTGCCTAAATGCAGCAACTCTAACGTTTACTTGTGCTTTTGGAAATTTCATTCAGATCGTCAACAGAACGCCAGAACAGGGTGGGTCACATTGGCTGACATTATCCACTATGAAAACAAATAACAAGTCGGAAGTAAAAATTTATGATTCAGGTTTCACACTAAGTTTTTCTACCCAGCAAGTTATTTGCAATTCACTCACCAAAAAAGAATGATAAAATATTATTGAATTTTATGGACTGTGCATTCCAGGAAAACGGCAATGACTGTGGTCTCTATGCAATTGCAAACGCAACTGCGGAAGCCAACGGTATAGATCCCTGCACCCAAAGGTTTGACGTAGAACTGCTTCGTGGTCACCTGATTCAATGTTTGGAAAAGGGTAAGCTTGTACCATTTCCCGCTGGCACCCGGTCGCTCGAGCACCCGAATGGTGTTAGATACACGGCATTTCTTAAGGTGTTTTGTTCTTGTCGAATGCCAGAAGATGGTTTGTATGTTGTTTGCAATAAATGCAAAATATGGTACCATCCAGAATGTGAGGGTCTACAAAAAGATGACATTCCTGGTGATGACATTCTATATTTCTGTACAAAATGTACACCCCCCCAAACGAGAAACATACGACGAAAAAAACGCAAGTAATGTACAATGTATAATATATACTTTAAAACTTTAGTTTAAATTTGAAATAAATTTAATACTGTTATTTATCGTCACTTGTTTTACTCATTTCCCTTAATTCATCACATGTCATAATGTTATGTTTTCATTAAATGAAGAAAAAAAAAAGAATGATTATTTATCATAAGGATTAGTTGCATCGTCACGGGTTTTAGCTACCCTTCATGACAGACGAATAAAGGCGAATATAGTTCGTCACGGTATTTAGTGCCTTGCATTATTTATCACGGTAAATTTAGTGTGTCACGGATTTTAGGTACATGTCACGGATTTATATTGTCACGGTCGTCACGGAATTAGATATTGTCACAGGTTTTAGGTGATCCCACAGTACTATAAATAGTGTATGGTCCGTTACTAAAAAGAGATGCTAGAATTCCCCAAACCTGAAGTCCAGCAAGATTTCATTTGAAAGCAGACTCCATATTGGTAAACAATCTCTACATATTTCCCTAACAAATAGTTGGGTACACGATTTCATTGAAGTTTCATTTAAAAACAAAACCTGTATTGATTCAAAATTGATTTGTTTATCAGATGGTATTTTATTTGACCCAAATTTGATTAATATGGGTGATTTTCATCACAGGGGATTCTGTCATTTTTTTCCTTTCCCACTATATATATAATATAACAAGGGATACAACTCAAAATTGGTCAATTCATAAAAAAGTAAATAAAAGGCATTATACGACAATATTTTTCTCTTCTGATTGTTGGACTTTCATGAAAGAATCGATTATTATAAAAAATGTCCCACTTTGATACATTGACAAGATAATATTAAAAGTTAAGCTCTCGTGTTTCATTTTTACACACGTTCGTAAAATTTCGGCATGTAAAATTACACATGTAAAACTATATTTTATGCACAGTTATACTGATATGAGACAGTTTAATCATGTTATCACATAAATATCAATCACCCACCACCAGCAATGATGCAATCATAAACTTCTGCTACATATAAATCAAGGAATTCTTGTTTGTTTTGATATTTTTAAACTTCAGCTGCCATTTTGTAGTTGCCCGTATGTTCCAATGCATAAATCCAACTTCTGTTCGTAACTGTCAATTTCATTGGCTAATGAATAATAATAATCCGGATAATAACGGCATAAAGCCGCGACGAATAGCGGTTTTTTCATCAGCCAATGAAAATACTCGGAACATAAACACACTTGCAAAATGGACGACAACTTGACAGCCAATGTAAATATTGAAATGTTAGCTATTTCCTGCAATGTTACAGGTTTTAATGAAGTGTTTGTAGTAGAAATTGGGTAATGACTCGTTCATATATTAACTTCTACAATAACTTTGATGGAATAGTAGTCCTAATTATAAGACCTATACGTAACCTATTTCATATTTATCATTCATTAATCTGATATTTTACATTTTTCATTTTCCATGTTACGTTAGGTCTTAACAGATCTTTGCAAAATCGTGTAGCAAAAAAATTGACATTAGACATCGATTTAGATCTAATGAATTTAAACAATTAAAACAGCGTGTATTTACATTAATTTTTTGACCTATTTATGAACAAAACTAAAAAATAAATACCTTTAAACAAAATAATTGAACTGTCACAACCGAAAAGTCATGATTAAATCCTCTCATTTAATTAAATTATTTGTACAGCTGATATACAAATGGCCGCCATACAGTGCGCGAAATCTGATTGGCTAATTCAAATGCAAACGTTTAAATGAGTCCAGAGAAGTTTCTAAACGGAATATTTTTTCCAACGAAATAATTGCCCATGCACAGTCAGTGTGTTCGAATATATTTTTCCGTTCAAAAAATTGGAATCAATCTGTAAAACCTTTGCTTAACCAGTATGGCCGATGAGCAAAAAATAGACTGATATTTATATTTTATTTTAATTGAATTAAGTACATTGTTTTGAAAGTTTTTGTTAATGATAGAGCATGCAATTGAAAGAACAATATGATAAGCTTTTGAAATAAAGCTTGAAAGGCAAGACAAAAGACATTTTTTTATTTTTTAAATGCTATGCGTTTTTGAGCAATAAACTATTAGACGTAAAGGCTTGACCAACATAAAAATAAAGCCTGTAACATCTTAATCTATTGGACTAATGGAATAGAGTATTTTATACAGTTTACCGTGTGAATGCATTTTACGAACCCGTGCTGGTAGTGCGAGGCCACGACTTGTATCCCTTGTTTATATTATATATATATAGATTTAATAAAAAAAATGACAGATTTCCCTGTGATTTTCATAGGTTTTTATGTACTGCACACAAATTGCCAAAATTCTGGTAGCCTTTGCAAATAGGGTTGACCCATAACTTTACTGTTGCACAACATCAAAATAAAAGTGACATATAAAGTTATGGAAATCAGAGTCGATAAATACCTTTTTAGAGAGATGACAATTAAGTTGCTCAATAGTTGGCGCCTTACTTTATTGTGAAGAGTATTTGGACAGCGGTGATAAATACCTACCTAGAACGTACCACACCGTACAAAGAATTGAAATAAAATTAATGATTAAGGTCAGACACGCACATTGATTTTCCCATAGATTAATGTAGCAGGAGAGGGCTACTTCCGAGGCGACAGGTTGCAAAACTTTCACAACCTACTGTAGCATCGCAAGTTCCTCTCCCTTTTTCTTGCTACTGATTTATATACAATAGAGCCTGAAGCTTTGACTCACTTTGTCTCTTAAATTCTGAACCTTTACTGAAGGAAATAACCAAGGTTTTAATACAGATTTATGTATGATAATAATCTTTATTCAAATGTATAAACTTTAATTTATCAAAGTATGAACTGTCTGATGAACATTAAATTCTTACATCTATAATAATTACCAAATTTAAAGTACCCAAATTTAATTCAAAGAACTTTCAATGCAGAATAATATTGAAGAGAGAAATAATGTAGCTTTTACTTTAATAAAGGCCCAGCCAGCATGACCATATCGGGCCGATATAGGATAGGGGCAGTAGCGTGGCTTTGTAACCTTTCAGTCAGTCAGTTGTTTATGCTTAATGAGGGTCCATCCGCCCGTAAGGGCACAAAATGCAGCTTGCGCTGTCGAGTACGGACCCCGGACATGTCACCAGTCATGCATGTCCTTAAAGAGTTAATTTTGAAGCACAAAGTGGTGATAATTTACCTCCATGCAATTTCCACGGAGTATTAGCCAAAGATATGAATTCTGAGCCAAAAGTAGGTCACTGTACGGCGGTCAATGAGAACCTAAATGTACAGTAACCTGTGACAATAGGAAAGGTGTTTAGCCCTGAATGGGGCTGTTTGTGCCAGCATTATAGGCCCCTGCCTTTCAAAGCCGTCTAAACCGTGCTGGGGCTTATTGCAACCCTAGCAAACACCATCCTCGTCGAACCCTAGCGCCTTACTTTTGTTAGGGCCACTCCCCTCGGCAAAATTAGTCAGGACACCGGCAAGCTAACTTCATGTAGTCTGTCTAGTTCGTGCCGCCTTAAACGTTACCCCGAGTAGAAGATAAACGATACACAATCCTTCTCATCTGCCGATGCCCTGTGCCTTCTCAGCGACGTGCACGCTCCGAGGGGAAGTGAGAAGTTTGTAACATTTCCAATGAAATCGAACCTTATATACCAATGCTATAATTACTTCAAAACAACCAATATATCAAATTATTATTTTTATAAATATAAATTAAGAATAATTACCAAAAGCAAAATTTTTAAAGTCATATACCTGAAATCTTCTCTATATTAACAAATTCAATATCTAATAACATGCTTGATATGTTGTGTGTAAATTGTAATTCAAAATGTAACAAATCATAATTTCATGTACTACTAAGAAAGGGAAATAACAAATTTATAGCCTAAGTGTAAAAAATCAGAACATTTATTTATATACAAAGAAGGAAAACAACCTGCCCTACTACACTTACATTATAATAAATGGGACTTAATCCTATCCTAAAATTGAATTTTCATGCTATAAAGAGGTGATTTTCTAGCAGAATGAAATGTCTGACACATAAAAATGTTCCTGTTATATAAGGGTAACTAACCAATTTTTTTGCAAAATGACTTCAAAGAGGATCTCGTTACCCATGACTTAACTATCTCGTGGCCACGACTTAGTAATTAGTGGCCACGACATAGTATCTTGTGCGCACGAGATAAATAAAAACACATACATGTCACCTTTGTGCCACCGTACTTTCTATAGGGATTCTGTTTTTCCTATTTCAAAGTACCTTGGTTCAGAGCTATAAGTGTCGCTACATGTACTTTTGATGCAAAATGATTGTTCGCTCCCTGGTTAATAACATTGGCCATTTGTGTTAACAAAAACGTACAGTTGAAGATTTTTTATCGAAACCTAGCTTTGTTAACATTTCATTATTGCTGCAATAGATCATTGCTGTGCTTAAAGAGTGTCAATCCGCAAGTAAAGGCACAAAAGAAGCTTTCGCTGTCGAGTACGGACCCTGGATTATGCCCTTAAAAAGTTAATTTTGAAGCACAAAGGGTTGATAGTTTTCCTCAGTGCAATTACCATAGTGTATAGAAAATCAACTTTGAGCCGAAATAAGGCCACTGTACAGTTGCCAATGAACTCTAACTGCACAGTAACCAGAGCCAATGATGAAGGAAGAAAATGACTGTTTATGCCAGCATACGCTCATGCACAATAGTACCGTTCCTCGTCGTCTCTGCCTAATTTTAGTGTCACCGCTTAGGCTACTGTCAGGACATTGACTGCGAACTTTATACAAAGTATGTATGTATGTATGTATGTATGTATGTATGTATGTATGTATGTTATGTTATGTTATGTTATGTTATGTTATGTTATGTTATGTTATGTATGTTATGTTATGTTATGTTATGTTATGTTATGTTATGTTATGTTATGTTATGTTATGTTATGTTATGTTATGTTATGTTATGTTATGTTATGTTATGTTATGTTATGTTATGTTATGTTATGTTATGTTATGTTATGTTATGTTATGTTATGTTATGTTATGTTATGTTATGTATGTATGTATGTATGTATGTATTGATATGTATGTTATGTATGTAGACATTTCATAATACATTTTGTAAACTCTAAAGAAGTTAAAAAAATTTTATAATGTTTAAAAAGTAAAAAGAAAATAAATGAAAATGAAAACATAATAGTGTATGCTTTATATCTTCTCATTTGAAATAGGTTAGCCCAGAATTAACATGTGTACAGTACATTGTATCCCTTAATATATTGCCTGGTTTTCTGTTTGACCAAAACTCATTAATGAGACCAACCCGCTTATTAAGACCAGATTTGTAAAGTCCCTTCATTGGTCTCATTTGGCGAGTTTTTTACTGTATGTATGTATGTTATGTAATGTATGTATGTATGTATGTATGTATGTATTTGTATGTAATGTATGTATGTATGTATGTATGTATGATTTGTTGGGTGTTGTGTGTTGTGCGTGCGTATGTGTGTGCGTGTGTGTGTGCGTGCGTGCGCTGGCGCGTGCGATGTGTGAGTGCGTTGTGCGTGTATTCTAGTCTTAATGAGGACCAATCCGCCCTTTCTGAGAGTACGGACACCAACAGTACGCCGGTATTCATTGGCACGAATTTTAAAAAATGTCACATAAGGGGTTGGGTTAAATGGGGGTTTTAAAAAAGGGTTTTCATCTTCAAAAATTTTACCCCATATATTTTGGGGTTTATTAATTCAATGAATGGTTTTCCCAAAATCGATTTTTTGGGTGTTTTAAATTTTTTTGATGCACGGAGGCAAAAGTCACCTTTTTGCATATGAAGAAAAAAAAAGGGGTTTTGCGGCCAAAAAAAAAAAAAAAAAAATTTTATCATATTTTTGGGTGACCTTACTGATAAAGGTTACTATTAGTAGTTTTACCTGTCACATGTATTCCGTATGGCCTACATGCAAGAGCATTCTTTTCAGTTTTTCATTGACGAATTTTGAATGAGTTTTAGCGAAAAAATGCAGTCTCTTTTTCAAATTTGTATAATAATGAGAATACATCGTAAGATTCAGCAAATGATATAGAACATATTTTTGTTTTGTTTTGCCTGTTCATTTATTTATTCGTTTTTAATGGCATTAGCTTGTCGTACTTTTTTTAAGTCAACTCAAACGGGACAGGAATTTATTTGATTTTGTCTATAGACACACATAAGGGCCTGGAAGTCACGAACCTCATATTATCCGATATTTTCTTCTTACAAAATTATTCGCTTATATATACAATCAATGTATTCTGCTTGATTTAC